AACCCAAAAGGGGAATCACTTCATGTCTTTTATGTCTAAAATGTCATCACTGCCATAGATAACTACAGCCTTCAGCAATGTACCTAGTAAGGAGACGAGAGCACTGAAATCAAGTTCCATAATTAATCTTAAACCTCATCTTTTCAATTATGTTTCCTTTATCTATTAGAGAGGCATCTGGGAGTAAATAGGAGTGTGAATGTATTCCAATCTGTGTTGGATTTCTCATCAAGAACAGCTCTCAATAATAAAATGTGCTCCCATATGAATCAGGCTTTGTGCAAAGTACACGCAGTTGTTATATTTCATGCGGTACCTTTATCTCCCAGAAACAGAGAGTTCAGAACTGGCCTGTTCAGAACTGTCTCTCACAACTGAAAACTCTCATTCGTTAAATGAGAGGTAAGTCAAACACAGGAAAGCCTAACGCATACACATTTACAGACGGGAAGAAGCCTCTATATCCTTCTAGCCCATTTGGTAGTTGGCAGCTAACTGATCCAGGATCAGGTTTCTGCCATTGTCGCACTCTGTCCACCTGCAGGGCGGCCCGGCACGCCTGCCTGGCCAAGACAGCGGTCAGGCGTGGGGGAAGACGTGCTGAGCTGTGAGCCGGGCGGCTACTGCTGACCCAGCTGCTCAGCTGAACAACGACAGGGAGCCCCGGGAGCCCGTCTTTGTTTCTCTCCTCTCGGACAGAAGTTGTGTCTGCGAAAAGGTCAAGCACAATGCACCTTGGCAAAACAGCACCCCCCACCCCCCTTGAGCCATTTCATGTGCCAAGCCTTCTTCTCTCTCGGGGGCCGGTGCTGTGCACACGTCTCCTTCTGCATCGGTAATGGGGACGGGGGGGGTTGGAGCAGTGACAGCAGCCAGTGTCTTTCGAAGGAGCAAAAACCCTGCGTTTCCTCCCCACTCTGAAGCTGTATGCTGCAGCTAAACCCTCAGCGCCTCTCCACAGATAATACCGCAGAAGCAGACACCGTTTCTGTTTTACCTGGGATCCTGACCGCTTTCTCCCTCTCTCTCTCTCTCACTCCTCTGCCGGCCACAAAGAATGTGGGTTACGAGTTATTTTAAGCCGTCGCCGTTCCGGGCGGCGCGGCTGTGCACTGACACGTTAGGAATCGCATCTTCCCTCTCTGTCTGTCTGTCTCCCGCTCTCTCCAGTGAGCGAAACGCACTTACCTGCAAAACCGCTGACGACTAAAACAAAGGGGTTGGGAGAACACTGAACTCCAACTAAAGTGACCAGAGTCCAGACGGCTGGCGACCTTCACTTGCTTTTTCCAGTTACTATATCCACATAGCGGAGCGACACAAGGACGAGGGACGGCGAACC